TATGTATACACACACATATATATATACACACACACACCTTTCAGCAAGTTTATAATCATTATTAAATACAGGGGTTAGACAATAAAACTGAAACACCTGTCATTATAGTGTGGGAGGTTTCATGGCTAAATTGGACCAGCCTGGTGGCCAATCTTCATTAATTACACATTGCACCAGTAAGAGCAGAGTGTGAATGTTCAATAATCAGGGTAAGAGCACAGTTTTGCTCAAAATATTGCAATGCACACAACATTATGGGTGACATACCAGAGTTCAAAAGAGGACAAATATTTGGTGCACGTCTTGCTGGCACATCTGTGACCAAGACAGCAAGTCTTTGTGATTTATCAAGAGCCACAGTATCCAGGGCAATGTCAGCATACCACCAAGAAGGACCAACCACATCCAACAGGATTAACTGGACACAAGAGGAAGCTGTCTGAAAGGGATGTTATGGTCTAAAACCAGGTGTTTCAGTTTTATTGTCTAACCCCTGTATTTATGCATTTTGTTTTTGTGTTTTTGTTCTTTCTGTTTCTGCAGGTGTGCAGACAGATGTCAGGTGTGTTGTCTTGTGTTTTCTTGATGTACTGTATATTTCACATAACTTCTAACCTCTCTTTCACTATTTACATTTCACCATTTTCTTCTCTTTCTTTAAAAAACAAAAAGTGAAAAGGCACCCCAGCGTTCACATTAAACATAAATATAAAGCTGGAAATTCTTTATAGCATAAGGAAGCATAAGGAGCACAAGTTGGCTGAAGTTAGCAGAAATAAGATATAATAGCTACAAAAAAATGTGTATTTAGCTTTAAAAAGCTAACTTTAGCTAATAACAGCTGAACATTAGCTAAAATTGCAGCAAATAGCTGAACATAGCAGAAAGAAGCAAATAAAAGTAGAAAATAGCCGAAGAATAGCAGAAAGAAGCAGAATTATAGCTGAAATAGCAGGGGGAAAAAGCTAAATTTAGCAAAAAAAGAAGTTAAATTTATCTCAAAGAAGTAAAAAAGAGCAGAACAAAAGGTGTAAGGTTCTGTAAAAATTTAGAAACATTTTAAAGGATTTTAAGGATCTTGAAAACAGCTTCATTTAATTTCAATGGGAAAAAATGTGGCTGAAAAAGTGAAATAGCTAAAAAAGTAAATACTGAATGTCATAGCCGGAATGCCCTGAAGGAGCTAAACGTTTTGATAAATGAATTGTTAAAATAACACAAAAACTTCAGAACCAGATTCGTGCCAAAAAACGTAAGGAAGAAAAAAATGATCTCTATCATGTGAATGCTTGTGAAGCATTCACACAATAATGCTAAGACTACGACTGTTAATGCTATTAATGCTCAAGATAATGGTGTACTAAAGGCTGGTTAAATATAACTAGCCTTTATTTTACTTTTATAGCTTGTGTTTTGTTTTTGTAGTTTACCTAGTTTTTGCTAGCTACGTTTTAGTTAGCCATTTGATGCTTTTATTTTTTAGCTAGAAACACTTTCATGTTCAACGATTAGCAATTACTCTCAAAATTTCAATGTGTCTTTTCAGGCTATCGCTGCTTCAAGGCGGTGATGTTCCTGACCGGCCTGATGTTCGGCTCTGTCGTTATCTTCGTGCTCTGCTACAAGGAGCGCGTCCTGGACACCCAGCTGAGCGCGGAGGCCTCGGTCGGCGTTGGGCTGGGCATCGGGACGCTCTGCGGCCTGGTCACCATGCTGGTCCGCAGCGTGGGCCTCTTCATGGTGGGCCTGCTGCTGGGCCTGCTGGTGGGTGTGGCTACCCTGGTGGGCATGGCGGAGCTATCCGAGGACCCGTCGCGCTCCGTCTGGGTGCCCCTAGGCGTGCTGCTGGGCCTGGGCATGCTGTTTGCTGTACTGACCCTGCAGTGGCAGCGCCTCTTCACCACACTCTCCACGGCTGCGTTCGGTGCTGCCATCATCACCGTGGCCTTGGACTACTTTGTGGAACTCTTTGCCCTGGTGCTCTACATTTATGAGCGGATTAAGGTTGAACCAGGAAAACCCGTGTGCTGGATGACCTGGGTGGTGCTCGGAGTGTGGCCCTCCCTTACCCTGCTGGGAGTCTTAGTTCAATGGAAAGTGACAGCAGAGGGATACTCCCACACCAAAGGTTAGTGAATGGGGTTCTGTTTATATTTGATTTTATTTTGGTTATTAATTAAAATGTGCCTCTTTGCCAAAAGATTTTGCAAATATTTTTAAAGTCAGTAAAGTTGCTTCAGAGAAAAAAGAATACTTAGGTCGTATTCAGACCTGATAATTTGCTCCGTTTTAAACAAACCAGAGTTCGTTTCCAGCGTTGGTCCGGACCTTTTGTGCAGGTGTGAATACACTCATGCGAACTCTGGTGCAGATCAAACAACCGGACCGAGACCTGCTTTTTGAGGTGGTCTCGGTCCGCTTCCAAACGAACTCTGGTGCGGTTCGCTTCAGTTCTCTTCTGGTGTGAATACAGACCGGACTCTAACTGAACCAACTGCATTAAACATGCACCTTTTTGGACTTCACAGGCCACCATTGCTGAGCTAAATAAATTGAAATCATACCTGAGTCGTCTCCTGTTAGCAGCTCTGCTGGCAGCATGTTGTGGGTCAGAACACGCAGAGCACCTCGTCTCCTTTGGGTTGCAGGACACATTTACTGACGCCGCTCCAAAATTAGAATATCATCACGGAACCACCATTAAATTAGCTGCTTCTGACATTTTAAATGCTATTGCAGTTGTACTATCAGCAAAAATGTGCGCATCAGAACCGCAGCACACAGGACTTCCTTGTTTTCTTCTGGGTCTGTGGCTCCGTCCCGCCCCCGTCCTTTTTTTGTCCAATGGGAGCAATGATCGTCAGCCTCATGGCTTTGTTTACAAGTTATAGTTCATTTGCAAAAAAGCACAATGTGAATGCAAACCGCACCAAACAAAAAAAAAAAAAACAAGTCCATTTTTGGTCCGGACCAAACAATTGGACCAAAGGACTTTCCTGGTCTGAATACACCCTTAATTTTCTCCTGGAACCGTATGGAGCTTTCACAAACTGACTGTAAGAAAAGTGAAATATGATAAACACTGACTGAAGTTCAAATATTGACATTATATTGCTCAAGATTACCTAAAGATTAACTCAGGTCCCAAATGCTCATGAGGACTGAAAATTTTGCTAGAAAAATTGCTGCACAGATTAGCTGAAAATTAAATGTAGCAAAAGGTTAGCGAAATGCTAAATATCGCAAAAGACAATATTAAAGATAAATGTTGCAAAAGGCTAGCAAAAAGCTAAATGTATCCAAAGGTTAGCTAAAAGCTAAAACTCCTGAAGGGCCGACAAAAACGTATCAAAATGCTAGTTCAAAGTTAAAAGTATCAAATATTATAGTAGTTGTTTTAAAAGGAGACCTTTGGGTCTAAGTGAGCTGTATCTCCCTCTGACTCCTGCAGTCATCATCAGCCGGCAGCAAAGGAGGATGCAGGTGATGCGGATCCGTCAGCGGGACGACCGCTACCGCAACAAGAAAAAGAAAAAGCAGCAACATGGCTCCTCCCACCACAGTCAGGCCAAGCAGCTCCACGCCGAGCCCGCCTACCGCCGCAAGCCCAACCCCATCCGCCGCTACGACACAGACGTCCTGTCGCCGGTAAATATGTCGGGTTTATTGTTCCTCTCATCCGTTGAGAGTTTCAGTTTGTTTTGTGAAAACTCAGATGTACTTTGAGCCTGAATTTGAAAGTTTTTTTTTTCCTGCAGAGTTACATCCAGAGTTTCCGGGACCGGCAGGTGCAAGAGCAACCCTTTTCAGGACGCCTGGTCGGAGGCTCCCATGCTGTGGTGGAGATGGGATATGACTGTGGCTCCACTACACCCCTGACTGGTGCAGCTGGACTTCCTCTCCGGGCCTGACCACCGCTCCGCTTCCCAAAAGCTTAACCAGGGAGAAAGAATCACTTCCCAACCTTTTAGACGATCACAACAAATCACTGCTGGGTTTAAAGATTCTGGCTTCAGCCCGGGTCCATTCATCCACCGAAATGCAAGGAAACATTTTGAGCTGACTCAGCTGACTCTGGTTGGTGATTTTCAGGAGTTTATCTTTTAAAAAAGTCACTCTTTCATTGTACACACTGAAAACAAAGAAAAGGAGCCGTCTGCTGGACCAATCCCCCTGATTAGTCTGTCTTGTCTTCAGTCAAGCCAGATCAGGTGCCAGAGTTTCCCTGTGGACCCAGTTCAGGTTCTAACACACAGATTAAGTCAGAAGAAGAATCCTGTCCAGGTTTTTTCCTTTATTTATTTATTTTTTCCATCTATCGCTTCAGGAATAAGGAAAACTTCTTGTTTCTTGTGCCATTTGGAAAACACAGAGACTTTGAGATCTTTATTATGACTTTGATGTTTTTATAAAGGGGAAACCCTTCGTCACCCTTGGTGCTCCGTTTCAAACTGCTTTTAGAAAACTGAGGAGGCTCAGTCCCTATTCGGACCACACACGTAAGCTACAATGAGCTGAGCTTAAGGATGTTTTCACTGGACGGAGAAGCTGTTTACACTGGCACCTCTCGTTAGATCTCACCTGAATCAAACACAAGACCCACTTTTCTTAGTCTGTTAGTGAAACACCAGCTGCAGAAAGATTAAAAAAATCAACAGATTTAAATAAAATTTATTCCAGAAAGTTACCCTTTTTTTCTAGGTTAAAGGGGTTTATCTTCAGGACAAACTGATGAAGACTTACAGTCAGTATTTAATATATGGTGCATCTGCCAGTTTAAGGGATTGTGTGTGTCTGTGTGTGTGTAGGACAGTGAGGAGACGGAGCAGAGCAGCAGGAGGAAATTAGTTCTGTGTTTTTAGCATGAATTGCCTTTTTTTGGGGTGTTTTTGTTAAAACACCGATGGTGCATTTAAAAAAATCAAAAATCTCGACAGGTCTGTCACTACCTCGCTCTGAGGTACAGACATTTTTCAGCATTTTATTTTATACTTGGCACTCCATGCAAAATTGCAAATTTTCCATCTGGAGTCCGTAATAACTTCACACAGTTGCATCTTAAGTGCAAATACGTTTCAACATCCCTGCAGATGACTTGCAAATTTATGTTTTTCTTTTAAGTTCCAAAGTGTCTCAGTTTGATCACTCTTTTGTCCTTTTGTCTCTAATGAGTAGAGATTGGTTGCTAATGCCTCCCAAAGTTATTTCACAATCCTTTTGCTTTTACTGAGACAAGTTCAGGACAGATTTGAAAGCCCTGTAACAACTCTGCAATTCTTCCAAAACTGTTTGATGAGTTTTTCTGATATGTTGAAATTAATAATAATAGTAATAATACTGAGTAGCTTAAGTGTTCACCTACATAGCAAAATTTTTCTGGCCCGGTTCTGGTCCACACTGTGCACGCATTGGTCAGCACCACATAAAACAAACCACAACTGGGCCAGCTGTGGCATGCCACCTTTAAAACAGTGCCATCATTGCCAGAGCTGGCCCATTTCCAGCTCTGGCAATGCGTGCCAATGCGCTGACCAATGCGTGCACAGTGTGGACCAGAACCGGGCCAGAAAAATTTTGCTATGTAGGTGAACACTTAAGCTGCTCAGTATTATTACTATTATTATTAATTGCGTTCCCAACAAAACAAAAGTATTTTATTTAACACTTTATCCCCGATTTTGAAACAAAGCTGTGGCCGTTTGTAAAACTGTCAAAACATTTTTAGTGGAACATTGTTTTAATAACAAAACAAGAGAAAAGATATGAAAAATGTTTGAGATTTGGACTTAAATTATTATGTGGTATTACAATAAATTATATACATTCCAGTATAAAGTTCTGAGGGACAAGTTTACACTGAGATATACTGTATTAGTAAAACAGTTTGATCTTATTTAAATCAATGAGATAATTGCTAACCAAGGTTAACATAGTCACTGTGATCTTAAAATTAGGAAGTTTCAAAATGATTCATGTAAACATTATTTTATCAAATTTGACATTACCAACAGTTTTTTTATTCTGCAGTTATTTCAGTCAAAATGTGATGATACACTAGCAGGAAGTGCCCCTGGGCTGCTCAGGAAGTGTGAAAGCTAGCTGCGGCTATTAGTGCTAACAGATAATCATTAAATTCTTTAAGGGAATTTCAAAACTGATGAACTAAGTAGTAGTTTACAACAAGAAAGGATTTTCAGTTTCAGTCAAAAACATCTATTATTGATCAAAAACACAACATTCAACAACTAAAGGCGGGCGGCCAGTAATGCTAACCAATCAGAATAAATCTAGCCTTTTTTTGATTCAAACTTTAAAGGGATCCCCGATTAGTTGTAACATTAGACTTTATTTGATAAACATGTATTTAAACTATAACAAAGACTATAAAAAATACTGTAGGCTGTTTAGTTTTGTAAATTTTTAAACTAAAAGTTCAAAAATATATTACACGGACGGGGCCCATTTTATTTACACACAAAGCATTCTGGGTAAATGATGTCAGCTAGGTCATCAGTGCGAGGCTTCTAGCGAGCTATATCCACCCTGAAGGTTAATCTTGGACAATATCTGGGGTTGGATTTATAAAACTTGCGTACGCACAATTTGAGCCCAGAAACTTGCGTACGCCACTTTTTATGCCAAGGTTGTGATTTATAAAATCCAAACTTGACGTGAAAATGTGCGGTGCCTCACGCCAGCTTTGACCCATGCGTACGCTCATTTTGGAGACGTGAAACTGTGACACAGATGGTGAAGTGAAGAATTAGAGCCACACTGTGTAATGATCACTGTCAGATATTTAATTTACCTTCAGAATCAGACTTAAATAAAAGTTCCCGTGCGCAACTCCATTCATCGGCTTCCTCCTCAGACGACCCTGACCCACAGACCCCTCCCCGATTAGAACAGCAGGACAGCAAAAGCTTTGGATACACGCGCAGTGCGCGCTCACCTCGCCAGTGTGAATAATAAACCTTCACGTTTAAAGTCCGTGTTTGTCACGCGCGCGGGGGGGATGCGTGCATGCTTGCATGTGTGTGTGTGCGCGCGCGGGGGGGTCTGCCGCGGAGAACAGAGCAGGCAGGAGGGGGAGAGGACGAGGAGATGAGCGGTGAACTTATTTCTAATTTTATCTGACTTATTTAACTTAATTTTTTTTATCGTGCAGGCTCTGATGGGAAATTAATTTGAAGCTGAGGTTTTTTATTTTTATTTTTTATAAAAATCGTTAGATTACTCTAAAGCAAAATGAGGGAAAATCTGTGTCAGTTACAGACAATCTGTTCACGTGAGCAGCTGTCAGTCAGCACCTGTCATCCTCCAGACACACGACGGAGCGTGCCTGAACCAATCACTTTTGTTGGCATGATCAGCTGACTGATTTAAATACATCTTAACATTCATGAGGTACTTTACATTGACTGTTTATGGTTGAGTGTGGGCGTGTAGAGGGTAGAACCTGAGGAGGGACCTCGTGCGCAATCTCTGAAGTGCAGCTGTGATTTATAAAGGAAACGTAGAAACATGCATACGTACTGTTTTATAGATCTGAAATTTTTTTGGCGTACGCCATTTCCGCCTTTTGGCCGTACGTTCACTTTTAGTATGGTTTCCACGCAATCCTGTATAAATGAGACCCCTGATGTTCAACTCTTTTAAATGAAACCAGACAGCGTTGACAGAGAGGAGAAGGTTGAAATAACTCAGCCTGGAACTGAAAATATAGATGGAGGACCTCAGTTTAGCTTGTCGCGCTAGCACTGAGCTAATACATATAAGGCAATATAGCATCAGTGCTAACACAAAGGCTAACAGGCTAAACTGAGGTTCTTCTTCCATGAAGCAGCTCTGTTGTCCTCCATCCATATTTTCAGTTMCAGGCTGAGTCATTTCTACCTTCTCCTCTCTGTCAACGCTCTCTGGTTTCATTTAAAAGAGTCGATCATCAGATATTGTCCAAGATTAACCTTCAGGGTGGATATAGCTCGCTAGCAGCCTCGCACCGAGGACCTAGTTGACATCATCATTTACCCAGAATGCTTTGCGTGTAAATAAAATGGCTCTGTCCATGTTAAAATATATTTTTAAAAATTTACAAAACTAAGCCTACAGTATTTATAGTCTTTATTTTACAGTTAAAATAGATGTTTATCAAATAAAGTTTAACGTTACAACTAATCAGGGATCCCTTTAAGCTGATGAGATGCTTTGTTCACAAATGCTTTTTTCTACAGTAAAATAAATGATTGTTCGTGTTTATAATTTTAATTTACTGCCCTCCATTGTGGGCTTGTATTTGTATTTGTTTGGCTGTTAGCAAAACATCCAATGAACCAATGCTTGTATTTTAATGAAACTCAGTAATAACTGGATGTTCTTCTATAACTGATAGACTTTTGTATTCAACCTAATTCAAGATGACTGCCACAGCTAAGCAATCTTAGCAACAACAAGATTGGTTCTAATTCAGTCAGTTTTATAGATACTGAGCTAAAATGTGGCGAGGTAGTAGCTGAGCATCATCTCTAAGTGCTAACAGATCACATACTGTATACTCTTTGCAATATGCATTCCTCTGAAGAATGCTAGTTTATTTTATTTTAGTGGAGACGAGTTTTTGTTCAGCTCAGATAAGTCAATGTTTTTGAAGAATGTGTAATATATGAAGCTCTCTAAGAGGTGAGCCTGAATAACAATAAAGAGTTCTGATTTGAAGCTCCTTTCAGAACCAGATCGGGCCAAGGTACCAGTGTAAACTAAGCTGAATAAAACCTGCAGTGACTCTGGTTTACCTTGTCTTAGTGAAAACATGAACACTTCCTGTCTTTAGCCGTTTGAAGATAAAACAGAGTAAGGAGAGGTGGGATGAACATTTTTATTTAGCATGATTGTTGCTGAACACCTGCTCATCTGCATCAATGTGAACGTTGTACAGAAAACACAGCACTTACTTTCTAACTTTTCCAACTCGTTTTGGATTTTAAAGGACCTGAGACGTGTTAGAATCCAGTGGGATGTATTTATTTACTGATTTATTTATTTTATTGTCATTTTCTTGGCTGGTAACACCATGTTTTAAAAAAAAAACAAAATTGACTTATGACTGATTATTAAAGCATGTGTTCCTGATGGGCCTGAACACAACCAAATGTGTGAGAGTTGTTTTTACACACATCTGCTGAACTCTTAGAAAACAGAAAATCCCTTTAACAGTCATTATTAAATTATGCCAAAATATCCATTTTTTCTTTGTTTAACATCCAACAGAATCTTTCTTTTATTCCCCAGAAACAACAGGATTCAGAAAAAACCTCATGATGTATGTTGGTTATAATACAGATAGTATTGCAGTGGATTCAGTATTTAGTTCTTTTAGCCCTGGTCCAAATCTCGGAACCATAGGTGTGGGTTAGAACAAAGCTAACCTGTCCAGAGCACTATCCTCATTACTGCAGGTAATGCTTTGACCAACAGTCCATCTCTTGATCCATCCTCCATCTACAGCACCTTCATGAAACAAGTCTCCCACCTGAACAACTCCTCTGCCTCAAAGTGAACGTTCCATCTGTTTCCTGTTGAGAACCATGAATGTCCTTTTATTGTAATTCATTTATTTCTCTCATTTGCTTTGGTGAATTTCTCAAAACAATACATACAAATAACAAAACACAGTGGATTATCTGCAAAACCCAGTTTCTTGCTCAAAATCCTTTGCTCATCTCTCAAAACACAGCAGTGCAGAGAACACAGAATTAAAAGTAGAAATGTGAACACATATCTCCTTTAGGAAACCTGTCCATGCAGTGCTGTAGGAATCACAGTGCAGTCTACCTACACCTTCTGACACTCCTGTCTGT